CAATTTGAAAGTGAAAGATGTTCATTTTAAGTTGTCGCATTCACAAAATGTTGACACTATCATATTATTAACCAAATGATAGGTGTGCTCAATTAAAAATTCCAACCAAGATTGAATTACGTTGGCATCGGTTCATTGTCAGGAAGCATTTAAAGTCCATTCTTATAACTTTGGCCCATGGTTTATCAATTTCAATGAATCTCGCTCCTATATCAATAATAATTAAAAGAAAAATTAGTTATTAACTTTACAAATATTATGTAACAAGATTAATGTATAAGCATAATCATGATTGAATTGATTACCTATCCATTCCATAAATTCATGTTACATGACACCTAAACCTTTAAAAGATATAAGTATCTGTTGGCCCTATAAAAAAAACCTCAAACCACTAGTGGGTGTGAAGTGACTAATCTATAACAATATCATGCTCTAGAGGGTCAACAATCAGCTTATCAACATGTTCTTCCAATTCTCGTCATTTTCTCTTTTCAAAAACAATTGAACGCCTTTAATTTTCTAATAAGCCAAGGTCGGTTGCATTACGATCTTGACCTCTACCATTATCGCCCTTTTCACTTATGCCATATTTATTGTCACATAGAATATAGTATTAAACACTTAATGTAACAAATTCAACAAATTAACAATTTTGCATAGAACATATTTTGAGATTTAGGATTTAGGGTTTAAGGGTTCAGAGTATTTAAGAGTTAGGATTTACAAATTTGGAAGCTTTCAAAAGCTTCCCAAAATGTAAATTCAAAAGTTATGAAAGCTTTTGAAAATGCAAATCCAAAAATTTTTAAAGTTTCTAGAAATACAAATTCAAAAGGTTTCAAAAGGTTTTGAAATGTATATTCAAAAGCTTTTGAAAGTTTCTAGAGATTTATATCTAGAACCTATAATTTCATATACGATTTTCATCATAACCTTAAACAAAATCAAAGGTCTTTAATCAAAATAAAACAAAATAAAGAATAAATTACCTTTAAATTGAACTTTATTGATTGATTAATGTTGCGATGTACAGGCCCAACAAACTTAACCACTAGACTTGTGGATGAAAAATGGGGCTAAAAAGCATTTTTAAATTTAAAAAATAAAATCGAAGAGTCGCTACTAATCTTTTTTGGGTATGATTGGCCACCTAAAAATTTTATTCTTTTGATAAAACATTTAAAGCGGGTTTAAAGTTTTATAAAAAAGATATTTTGTGGTTTGTAAAAATAAAGTTTGGTTTGGGAATCGATTATGCATGAGAAATGATTGGTACTGCCACAGCGTCCATCGGAGATGGTACAAATTGATTATATGTTATATTTTGATTTTGGTAAAAATAGTTCTATTCTAATTTTTAAAAATTAATTCCTTTTTTTTCATTTATTTATTTCAAAAACTAAATTTTTTTCTGTTTTTAAAGCCAATCATTTTTTTTTTTGAAAATAAGCAAAACAATTTATTTTTAGATTAGGATAAAAATATCCTAAATATCAACATACCTTTTCAACTCTCCTATATTTAGGTAGAGCTTCAAAAATATCTCTAACTTAAGAATTTTTAAATTACCCCACAAAATCGAAATGACACCTTGTATAAATAATAATCATTGAGAATCCTCTATATTTAGGCCAAATCTAAAAAACTATATTTATTTCAAATGTCACCTTATTTTTTTTAACATTTTTCTTATGAAAACTTATTTTTGAAAACCATATATATGATATACAATAACATAATAATATAATGAATGTATGATGATTAAACATAAATAACAAGATATGAATGCATGATTATTTAAGAATGCATGTAATAATAAAGTAAAATGAAATGAAAATGCATAAAGGGGTTCAAAGTTTGGTTTTAGGGTTTGGGATAGTTTTAGGGTTTAGATTAGGTTTTGGGTTTAGTTTAGCATTTGGGGTTAGTTTGAGGTCTAAGTTAGGTTTTAAAGTTTGGTTAGGGTTAGCTTGGGGTCTAGGTTAGGGTTTGGGATTTGGTTTATAGTTTATGGTTTATGATTTAGGTTTAAGATTTAAGATTTAGGGTTTAGGTTTAGAGTTTGAGGTTTATATTAGGGTTTAGAGTTTGATTTAAAGTTTGAGATTTAGTTTAAGTTTAAGGTTAAGATTCAGGTTTAGGTTTAGAGTTCGAGGTTTAGGGTTTGGTTTTGGGGTTTAGGGTTTATGTTTAAAGTTTGGGGTTTTATGTGAAATGCATATGACAAAAATAAATAACAAAAATGGCACTAGTAAAAATGTAAATATTGATGTATGGGTACAATGTGACAAAAATTACAAAAATATCATTAATGAAAATACAAACTTTAATGTATAGACCATGCATGAAAACAAACATATTACAAACTAAGGCATATTTACAAATCTACTACAAGCTTAACATGCATGTAACAAAGAGGTAAAAATGGATCAAAATCAAGAGTTTTAAAAATTTGAAGACATGTTCCATCATTTTTTTTTTATTTTGAAATTCATGTAAATAAACACAAAATCACCAAAAAAATTCTACTAATCTAACATTTTAGTCATTGTAAACTTGATCCAAACACATAACAAACTTGAAAAACATACTAAAAACATAAGCAAACACACATAAAACAAACAACTTTTAGCCATCATGCAAGAAAGAGATGTTCAGCCAAAGCATAAGGAGCTTGGCCTAACACTTCATTTAGCTTTCACAATCATGCTTTTCATTTCATTTAGTTTAATCATGTGTTAAACATCGAAGTATTCATCATATGGAGGCACTTTTATCATAAGAGGAATTGCATCAAACATGTAATGAACTAAATAGTAAGGAAACCATGGAACCAAACATATATAGCCAAACAATACATACAAACCACAAAACTAACTAATATTCATGCATTAAATATATGAAATAGCATTCATATCATTCACAAACATATTTAGAAGCAAGAAAACAACCAAGAATGGCCAATAGGAGTTTCAACCATAGAGGATAGGAGCTTGGCTGAACCTCTCAATGGCAAACAATGGTAGATTTTTTTTTATTGCTTGATCCTTTTAGTTTTAATCCAAACTATTATTTAGTTGGATGAAATCATGATCCAAGCTTGGATTAAAAAAGATGAAAAACTATAAATTTCTTAATAAAAAAAAAAGAAAAATCAAATGCTAAATGCTATGAAAAACATGGTAAATGTTGTGAAATGCTTATGAAAATGCAAAGGAAAAAGGTAGAAGAATTATACCTTATGCAAGCTCACCAATTTTATTTTTTTATTTTTTCTTTTCTCTATTGTGTTTCATTCCCTGAGCTACTGCTTCCCCTTTTTTTCTTCCAACCCTTAATGAAGAATAAATATCTTATGCAAAATTCATGCAACCATTGGATTCATTTTCTAGCTAATTGCCATCTTTTCTCCCTTATTTTCTTTATAAAGAGCCAACTTTCACCATTGGATCTAGCCCCTCAAGATCATCCTACGGTTTAGTATGCTCATGCCCAAATGTTGCATTTTTAATGTTGTTGGACCAAATGAAAAGACTATTTTACCTCCTTAAAAAGTTTTCAATTTTTATGCATTTTTCTTGGAGAAATATGATCCCTTATTCATTTTTATGATTTTAAAGCACCACAAATTTTCAAATAATATGAAATTATGATTTGAAAGTTTTCAAGAAAAATTGACATCGAGAAAGTCAAATTATGAAATAACATTTTAGGGGCATTTTAATAATTTCACACCTTCCGAGGTGCCATCAAAGTGTTTAATGTACAAAAAATTATCAAATATGAAAACATGATTTGAAGCATTTCATGAAAAAAATAACCTCGAAAAAGTCAAATTATAAAAATACCTCTTTAGGACATTTTAATAATTTCACCAAAATGCGATCAATGTTTTTAATTTATTAAAAATCATGAAATAATAAGATCATAATATGGAGCATTTCATGAAAAATCAATTTCGAGAGTGTTAAATTACGAAAATATCTCTAAGAATAATTTGATAATTTCATATTTTTCGAGGTGTAATCAGGGTTTTCAGCGTGTTAGAATAATAAATATCATTTTCAAACCCTATTAATCCCATTTGGTTTTGACTTTTGAAAAAATGACTTAAGTTTAATTCAATTTGGCTGATTTTGATCTGTTCTAATCAAAATTGATTTTATTTGACTAAATTTAATCTTAGAATATTTGGATCAAATTTATCTCTAACTTGATTTTGAAAACTGATAAAAAAATTTTAAAATTATTAGATTTAAATCAAATTAGATTTTAAATTTTTATAATTGATTAAAATTTATTCGAATAAAATTAAATGTTTATAATTAATTATAGAAATCAATGAATTTAGCAGGGATTGAGTTAGGGTTTTAGAATTTGAAAAAAATTTTATGGTTTGAGAGGGTGGAGGTTAAACGGGCATGCGAGATTTAGGGGTATGAATGTATTAAAAAAAAATGATTTAAAAATTTTAAATGTGAAATATAATAATAATTGAATGTAAAAAAAAAAAAAAAATTGACCGTAAATAGAAGTTCCCTTTCGGTTTTACGAAAAGCTCTATTAAAATTCAACAGCCTGATTTCAGCACTCTTACCTCACCTAAATCCACGACAATATTCAACCGTCTCATCCCACCCTCTCTTTGCACGCGTTTTCCCTCGCGCTTGTATTCACATCCCGTGTTAACCCTTCTTTTGTAAATTTCGTTAATTAAAAATCAAAAAAGGCCGTCAGTCAAACGGTAAAAACAACCACTTGGGTTCCGGGCTAACAAGGATTGCCACGTAAGCAAACTACAGTGAAAATCTTGGGCCCTATCTGACGTGTAAATTAAATGGTGTCGTATCAGATTGGCCCCGACTCTTGTAACAGTGAGATTTGGAGGGAAAAAGGATGACGAGATTAATTAATCAATCAATCAAAGAGAAAACATAAAAAATAAAAATAAAATAAAGGGCAATAGTACTAATAAAGTTCTATAATAATTAAATTAATTCCAAAACGGCTTTGGTTTTTCTATTTTATAATGCAAAGCCGAAGTTTTATTACTCTCTCCGCCCCCTTGTTTCTCTCTTTTTCTCCTCTTGCTTTCTTTGGCGAAAAATTGCGTCAGCGATCGCCGGTCAATTTCCGTGAAAACAATTGTGTTTATCTACAGCGAGGTATCACTTTTCGCCAAAGATATATACTTGTTTGAAAATCTGACAGATTTTTTTATTTTTTATTCATTCTGGTTTTCACTTTCTTTTTTCTAGGAAATTTCCGCTACAGATCTGGTGGATGAGAGAGATTTAGGTTTTATTCTTTTGTTTTTAACGGATTTTGTTTCGAATTTGTGATGAATTTGAAGATAAGAATAGGAATTTAGGGTTTTCGTTTGGTTTTGATGGAAGAGCGAATGAGATCTGGTGAGCATTCGGGGATTTTGGTTCAGAATAGGAGCCAATCGGGATGTTTGATTGTAAGGAAGAAAGGGAATGGTTCGGCTGGGGCCGGGTCTACGGGGACCCCAAAGATTAACGAGTCCAAAAAAGAGAAGAAGAGGCCTAGGATGATTATGAGTGATTCGGGTTCGAGTGATGAGTTATTAATGCCGCCTCGAAGGAGGGTTGGGCCCAAAACAATTCAATTTTGTAATGGTTTGGCTGTTTATGAAGAAAGTGAAATTGTTAGGAAGCGGAATAGGAAGGAGAGGTTAAGGCGAAGGGAGGAGGGTTTCATTGGTACGAATGGGGAGGATTTGAGTGAGAGTAAGAGGAATAGGCTAGGTGTGTTTGACTTTAATGAGTATGATGGGCTTGACGAGGATATGATTATGAGAAGGAACCCATTTGACTATGGTGGAGAAGAGTTTGGTGGGAGGAGACTGTTGGGTTCAATGCCTGCAGTTGTTCCGAGGAGTATTAAGAGAGAATATGTGAGTGGTCCAAGCGGGCATGTTTTTCTTGAGAAGAAGAAGTTGTATTTGGATAAGATTGATGGGATGAGTTGGGGTGATCATGATGATAGGAATGGGTTTAGGAAGGATAGGGATGCCAGTCGGCTGCATTACTCCCTGTTGAGTGAGAGGTATCTGGCTGATTCGGATGAACCCATCAGGGTTCAGGGTAAAAATGGTGTGTTGAAGGTAATGGTGAACAAAAGAAAGAAGATGGGTAAGCCTTTGAAAAATTTTGATCGCTTGGAAGTTGAGGAAGCCCAGAGTGGTTCAAGGATTGATGATACAGTTAGGAGGAACTTGCATGTCCGTCCGTCCTTGTACACTGAGACAGAAGTTCTTGAGAAGCCTGTTTCACTTGGTAGGAAAGAGAAAAAGAAAATGAATTTGTTAAAGACACCAACAACTAAGAAGACTAAGGTCTCTGACTGGGATTCAGAGGATAGTGATACATCTCTGAAGCTTCGAGCAAAGAATATGGAAGCTTCTAACTCAACAAAGAGGGTAAGTAGCAAAGAGGAAAAAAGTCAAGTTGTGCAGCTTCAGCCTACCGGAACCAAAGAAGGAAAAGTTAGGCGTGGATGTGGCACAGAAAAACAGAAATTACGTGAACGAATAAGGGGGATGCTTCAGGAAGCAGGCTGGACAATAGATTATAGACCAAGAAGGAACAGGGACTACTTGGATGCGGTGTACATTAACCCTGCTGGAACTGCATACTGGTCCATCATCAAGGCATACGATGCACTCCTAAAGCAGCTAGATGATGACGATGAGGGCAAACCTGTTGGGAATGGTTCTGCATTTACCCCATTATCCGACGAAGTACTCAGCCAATTAACAAGGAAAACACGAAAGAAGATGGAAAGAGAGATGGAAAAGAAGCAAAGAGAAGAAAGTGACAGTGAGAATGCACAGGAAGCTGTTGCTAGGAAATCTTCAAGTACCAGGCATGAAGATGAGAGTATGGATAGCTTGAGTCATGAAGAGAAACTAAGTTCGTTCATGAAGGGTAAGTCATTCAAATGTAGGATGAATGACAATGGTGCCTTCAGTGCAAATGCAAAGGGTCAAAGTTCTCTCCATGTACATGATAGCTATGAAAAATCGTCCTCTATATCCAATTCTCATCTGGTTCATGGAAGGAAAAGTCGAAAACTTGGCAGATGCACTTTGTTGGTTCGTGGTTCTAATGCGGGTCTGAGTTCAGTGGGTGATGACTTTGTTCCATATTCTGGGAAAAGAACACTGCTTTCCTGGCTGATTGATTCTGGGGCAGTGCAGTTGAGTCAAAAGGTGCAGTATATGAACCGTAGGCGAACAAAAGTAATGCTAGAGGGCTGGATCACCAGGGATGGTATCCACTGTGGTTGTTGTAGTAAAATCCTCACAGTTTTAAAATTTGAGATTCATGCTGGAAGCAAATTGCGCCAGCCATTTCAGAATATATATTTGGACTCTGGTATTTCTCTCCTTCAGTGCCAAGTAGATGCATGGAACAGGCAAGAGGAGTCTGAGAAGATTGGTTTCCATTCTGTCAACATTGATGGTGATGACCCCAATGATGATACATGTGGCATATGCGGAGATGGTGGGGATCTGATCTGTTGTGACAGTTGTCCCTCAACATTTCATCAGAGCTGCCTAAACATAGAGGTATTTCTGCATAATTTTTGCACCTGCTATATAGTTTTTGCATTTAGAAATGGTGGTCAGTCTCTCATATGTGCTTTCCTTTTCCTACAAGTGTTCCTTGTAAACCTCTTGGGCAGTTTTATTTTGAATAGAGGTTAATGCAGGCTTTGGAGTTGAGGATATTTCTCCGAGTGTTGAGAATTTAGGGGATACTTGAGGGGCAACAAAACCCCAGTTCATGGATCTTGGGTTCTTGAGTTTACATGGATCATTTATTTTTTTTTTCTCCTTCCCTCTCCCCTTCCCTGGCGCAAGTCCAACCCTCTTCTTGCTCACTCTTGAGAAATAGTGGCTGTGTTACTTGAATGGAGTTAATGACCAGAGTTAGATCTAAATATGTTGCTAGGTAATACAATTTCTTCCTATAAGCAGATAGTTATGTTCTTTTTGAAGGCTATAGCTATTGAGCTTATGGTTAGGGATCCCTAAATTTGTTTAGTGCCAAACAAATTTAAGGGCATTCTTAAATTCCTTTGACTTGCAGTTGGACATATAATTTAGTTGACAAGTTAGGGTATGTGTCTTTTTTCTTTTATATAATTTTTAGAGGACACATCTCCTAGCTGACTGTTCTTAAGACGTGTTCCTTGAGTTGATACCATCAATGTTTTGGATCTCTATGTAAGAAATGTTTGTCTGTAGCTTAATGCTGCGCCCTCAAGCGGTTGTGCTGCAGAAACATAGTTGTACTGTTATATATATAAACTGCTTTCTATCACATGCTTTGATGACCTGAAAAGTATTGGCTTTTACTTGTCCTCTAAAAGATGAAGTGGAAAAAGTTTTATCCTCCTTACAGTATTACTATTTGCAATTTTTAAAAAATTTATTTGAATTTGTTCTCCTGGTAGCAAATTTGCATTTTTTTGACATTTTGTGCTTGTTGACGTACACTGCTTGGTAGTTGAACACAAACTTAGCTTGTGCTTGTTAACAATACTATGTAGTACTTGGACATAAACTTAGCTTAACTTAGCCTTTTACAGTTTCTACCAGCGGGCGATTGGCACTGTCCAAATTGCATATGCAAATTTTGTGGTAATGGCAGTAGCATTGCTCAAGAGGATGATATAACTGATTGTGCGCTTCTCACTTGCAGCCTGTGCGAGAAAAAATGTACTCATTCTCTTGTTTTCGGCGTTCTCAATTCTTTGAAGTTTTAAGTTGTTATCGTAGTTTCCTCTCCTTGATTTCTTTAATATTCTGATTATTTCCACTTTTGTAGACCACAAATCATGCATCAAAGTTACAGATGAGGTTCATATTGATTCCAACAGCTTGGTTCTTCCTTTTTGTGGGCAGACATGCAGAGAGGTAATATATTTTTCTTCTGCCGGCATCTTAATGCTGAATGTTGTGATTAAATGCAAATCTAGAAATTAGGAAAAATCTATAGGAGAAGCAATCATACCCTTTAGATACCATCTTTAATAGATGTTAAACCTATCTTACATCAAATTGTAAAGGAGGCAGAATGTTTGTCAGAAAGTAACTTCTGTTTATTCATGACATGATGGTATTGACATATTGTTGCTATGATTATAGCTAACTAATATATGTGATGTTCACTTTTTACCATAATATTGTTAAACAGAAACAGTTCATCCAGGTTTGTAATGTGTGTTTTCTGGTAGATTATCTTACGCCATTTGACATGATTTTGTTTTTCTATTATTCATTTAATGCCTCTCAAAGTTGCTTTTTTTATTCCTTTATTTTGGAGTCACAATTGTTTCTTTGAAATGTTAAAAGTGGATAACACAATGATAGTGCTGTGTCACTGTGGGTAAAACTGTTATCATGAAGTGTAGCAATAAAATTTCTATATTTGCATGCAGTGTTTCCTTTTTTATTATAATTTTGTTTAAACAGAAAGGTTTTTTTTGTAGGTGTATAATATATATTAGCTGATAGGTCTATCTTATGTCATCATTTGATTCAGGAATTTGTTTTTTAGGATTTTACCTTATTGATTTCATTGTGAAGTCCTAGTTTCTATTTTTTTTTTTCCTTTTTCCTGGAATAAGAACTGGTATCTTTTTACTACTTGTTTCTATGGGGTTTGTTCTGGTTCATGTTTATATTATATTATTAAGGCGCTTGTTCAGAAATCTTTTTGTTGTTCCTGCAGCTCTTTGAGCATTTACAGAAGTATCTAGGGGTCAAACATGAACTAGAAGCAGGATTTTCATGGTCTCTTGTTCGAAGAACAGACGCAGATTCAGACACAATTGCCTTAGGGCTTCCACAAAGGGTGGAATGCAATTCGAAACTAGCTGTTGCATTGACTCTTATGGATGAATGCTTTTTGCCCATTGTTGACAGGAGGAGTGGGATCAACTTAATAAATAATGTCCTTTATAATTGTGGGTAAGCGTTTTGCATGCTGAATTTAAAGCAGTGTTGGTTTTATTAGTTTTTCCTTAATAGTGCTTGTCTAGCTGATTACACTTAATTATTTTGTTTCTTCATGTAGATTATTAGAGTCTCGTCCTAATTTGCAAAATGGATTTTGTTTGCTTTTTCCTGTGATCTTTGAATTTTTCCACTATGTTTATTTAGATTATTTTTTATATATTCATATGAACCCTGGCATGTTTTTGCGAGTTTAGAGTGTTTCAGATGCTGTTTGAGCTATTATACGCTTGCATACACATTTATGATTTTTTATTGCATTTCTTGTCAGACTATGGATATGCTTTCAGAGAACAGTCTGATAGTGATAATATGCTGTATTTTTGTCTATTATAATAATTTTCTAAAAGGATCTGAGGGATAAATTTCATATTCAAGTGGTGTTTGAGCTATGATTTATTTTTACAGTTTAAAATTACATCGAACCCTTGCTTCTGTTATGATTTGGTCTAATAATTTTATCCATTCTCACTTTCTCTTTTGATTAGATCTTGAGTATTCTTCTTTAGCTTGTCCTTTCCCTGGATTATACATGTTATAATAACTGTGGCGGTTATATTCATTGTCAAACATCAAATATCTAACTGTTTGCAATTTGCTTCTTTTATCTTTAAAGATCAAACTTCAACCGGCTGAATTATAGCGGCTTCTACACTGCTATTCTGGAGAGAGGTGATGAAATAATTTCTGCAGCATCAATCAGGTAAATAACATTTTAGCATCTGTATGCTGCACCGTTTCTCCCCTCACAGTTATTTTTATTTGGTTGGTTAGATAAGAATTTCAGACAAACATAGCAAAGACCAGGATCACCTAACAAAACACAAGCAACTGACTTCATCGAGTAGATATTACTAGTTGGATGGATTTGATGCACACATCTGGATTATCATTCAAATAAATGCTTACCATTTTGATGTCTTATTGCCATATGTAGGTTCCATGGAACTCAGCTAGCAGAGATGCCATTCATTGGCACTCGCCATATATACAGGCGTCAGGGAATGTGCCGTCGGCTTTTCTGTGCTATTGAGTCGGTAAGCTGTGAGGAGTAATTCATACAAGTGTGTTTGTTTGTGTTTCTCTTTCTACGTCTATATATATGTGTTTATATATTTCCTGTTACCCTATTGCTTAATTATATTGTTCCTTGCGTCATTGATTTAGTTTATTTGTTTCATGTCTGAAGGCTCTCTGCTCTCTCAAGGTTCAGAAACTAGTCATCCCTGCAATTGCTGAACTTACACATACATGGACTGCAGTTTTTGGTTTCACTCCTCTAGAGGATTCACTTAAGCAAGAAATGAGGTCCAAGAATGTGTTGGTCTTCCCTGGTATAGATATGCTGCAGAAGCTACTGCTGGAGCAAGGAAACACAAAGGCAAACTTGACTAATGTCACAGGTTTTAGCTAATGAAATTGTTGCCATTGTTTTCCATTATGTTTATTTACAGTTTTTAAACTTCTCAAAATTTGTCCCTCTAGGTGCGAAGCAAACTGAATCAGGATCTAACGAACGTCTACGTATCACATCTGAGGTGGCTAACGAATCTAAACCTGGTTCCTCATCTGGGAATGATAATCAAGAGTGTGATGATGGTGGTTTGCATCATACTCGTAGGGTAAATGGTGAAATTGCTGCTGCAGATTCAGATTCCCAATATCCAAATGTTTCTATTAATGATACTTGCGGAACTAGTGATTCCTTGGATGCATCCCTAGAACCTAATGTTTTTGTCGCAGTTGAGGAAACTACACTTACTAATTATCAAACAGGGGACAAGAGTAATGAATCTGCACCAGATAGTAAATATGATGTTAACCCTAGCTCAAGCCATGATGCACTTGAGGAGGAGAATAAGGTAGGACTGGATTCTCCTGCCGAAGATAATACTCAGTCTTGTACTGAGGATATCGATGATACCTTTGCAGCAGGTTTTATTGAATCTAAAGTTCCACGGTCTGATGATGAGACTGATTTACGGTCAGGGGACAAGACAGTTGAATCTTTTGCTGAGAGCAAATATCTTGCTACCTCCTCTATGGACTATAGCGCAGTAGACTTGGGAAATAAAACAGTATCGGGCTCTCCTATCCAAAAAAATACGAAGTCCTGTGAAGACGGTGATTTGGATGATACCCATGCAGGTGACAATGTTGCTACTGCTTCTGATGTCAAGACCGAGCTCACAGTTAAAGAGATTATTTGTACCAATTCTCAATCTGGGGACAAGCTAGCCGAATCTCCTGTTGGAAAATCTATTCTTGTTTCTGATGAGAGTAATGACACTCCAGAGATGGAAAAGAAAATAGTCTCGGAGTCTTCTGATGAAAATAACATTCAGTCTTCTAAAGGAAGTGATACGAGTAATGTTCATTCAGTTGATAATAAAGCTGCTTCAGATGAACTTGAAGTCTCGGTTGAGGAAACCACACTTGCCGATTCCGAGTTTGGGGACAAGTTGGCGGAGTCTGCTTCCCCGGAGAAATCTTTTATCTGTGGTACGAGTACAAGTCTCAATGCACTAGAGATGGAAAATAAATCGGCATTGGATCTTCGCAATGATGATTTTTCTCGCTCTTGTGAGGAGCCTAATGTGTGGGGTCAGAGTCGGATTTACAGCTGAAATCCTTCACTTTTTGGTTGTATTATGTAATTACCACAAGTTTTAGAGAGATTTAATTTTTTTCCTTCCACTGAAATTTAAAATTTATTTGGTGTTTAAATTACTGAACTGGTAGAATTTTTAAAATTGTTTAACTTAAAAAAATCTATTATAACATTTGTAAGTTAAATAAAAAATAAGTTTATATTTGATTTATAGTCAAAATATAAATATTATATAATGTTAATATCTCATATGTTATTTCATTAATTCATAAATTTTAAAAATTAAGTTATTTAAAGTTTAAAAAAATTCATGTACATCATATCTAGTTTAAGCGTTGTGATGTAAGTATTGATAAAGAGTCGTCAAGTTATTTATTTATATCTCAGGAAGTAATACTGGTTTCAAGATTATAGTTTAATTTTTACGAAATAACTCGTTCAGAAATTGGATATGAAATTTTGGAGGAATCAAAGTTTTAAATTGCACTCGGAATAAGTTTGGCCTCTACTTTTTACTCTAGTCCATATCTCGAATTGACATGCGAATTAGAGGGCATAATTCATTGCTTTATTCGAATGGCTTACAATTTTATGAACAATTGTATATCTCGTGTTGTTCCATATGCATATAAAAATATATGTGGAGTGATAGTCTCAGATGATTTGTCAACCATTAAATAAAGCAAAATATCGCATTAATCAAGTGTAGAAAATAAAACAATCCATCCTATTAGTATATAAAAAGCAAAGAAAGGTATCCAAAGTATGCTTTGTAATTGTTAATATAAGCCTACATGCTAGTCAAGATTAGTTGTCGAAACACTCATTAATCATTTATTTCATGTAATAAACATTATTTCTTATTAATATATGAGGTATTTATTTATTCATAAGTTCATATTAAAAAATATTTTATTAATGATTTATCTAGAAAAAGCCCTTAAAACAAATAGCCTTTACAAAGTAATTATATAGAGATATAATTATGAGATCTTTATGCATCGAAGTTTTGTTCCTAATTGTTGAGAATAAGGGCATTAATAATGTTAAAAAAACTGGTGCATGCTAAGGCTTCTTATTTATGAAGTAAGCAACTGCTATCATAAGTTGAAATATATAGATATTTGAGTAAAATATGTGGGTATTTGTTTGGTAACAAGTTCACAGAACATGATCACTATAAGAGTTCTATTTGTATTTCATTCAAGTGTTTATGGAATATACTCTTATATGCCAATAGTGTAAGTAATCATTTAACTTGTTATATCAAGTCACTTTATATGCAAATTGTTATGCTTTGATTGCATTTATACAAGTTAGGATGCCTGATACCTAAAAAAATGTGTTTTTGGGTGTGGTGTGAAGCATATAGAGGTGTATGAGTGATCCAGAAAGGATTCATCACTCCAAGTGATGTGATGGGACATATCTCACTTGTTCTTGGCTAATATTAACCACCAATTCTTAGTCAAGGCAAATGTGATTTGAATGGTTAATATAAAATGATTAGAAAGTAGACCTTACACTATACTTTTTATCCTTTCGAGATATATGATGAAAAGATCAAATTACACTGACATATTGTACACTGAAAGGTTCAGTCAAACTATTTTGACTTTTTTAATATTTTGGTGGTCATGATGCATTACTAGATATTGCTCATAATCTATAAATATAAGTAGAATTCTTAATTGAATTATCTTATATTTATTGCCAACATGTTTGGAGTTTAATGAGTCACATATAATAAGGTGACATGAGGAATTAAAATGATATAAGTGTTGTGAAAATGCAAATTTCATGATAAGAAATTAATTAAAAGGTTTAATTAAGTGTAAGGGTAAAAACATAATTTTATATTGCAAAACACTTAACCTAGTTCTATAAAATACTTGTTTAGTCACCCTTCCCAAAAGAAGAAGAAAATTCTACAATTGAAGGGAACACAAGGAAGTCGAAGAACTAGGGTTACCCAACTACACATCTACAGGGTTTGGCTTGCCACTTGTTTCTCCTTCGAGAAGAAAAACATTTTCTTGCCATTGTTTTGCTCTTGATCTTGCTAATTGCTAGTTGTGAAAATCAAGCAAATGGGAGGATTTTGTATCTTAAACTACTAGCATAGTATTTGGATAACACAATCTCAATCTTGTGAAGGTTTCAATTTTTCATTTGTGTGGATTACTCTTAGAGGCCAACTATTTGGACGGCTTTGGTTTGCGATAACTAGGCCTTGCTATGCAAGTTATCAACGGAGGATGTTAAGTTTTGGATTTCCATTCAATCCAATGCTTGAGGTATGGATAAATCCATTGTTTGCAAACCTTGTATGCTTTCCAATTGAATAAATCGCAAAAAATTGATCTTATGTTTGGATTCAATTTTCTCTTTTTATTTTTCGTTGAGTTTATTCAATTATTGAATGTATGTTTATGTGATAAGCATGCCCGAATCTTATATCAACCTAATTTATATGACATAATAAATAACAATTAATAAGATGTCTCTATGACATATTTATGCAAGCATATGTACATAATCTAAATGACAAGATTCATGCATGGCAAGCTTGACGTGGATTTACAACTGAAAAATTATTGATCATCTAAATGAAATTAAATAGTTAGATGTCACACATTCTTAAGACTACATGAAGCATGATCATGGACAATGGATATTACATGCTGGTCATGTTTAACATGATTCTGAGATTAATTTTGTAAAACTTTAGAATTTACTTGAATGGATCTATTTGATTCAAGATCTAAGATCTATAGAATACCTAAGCAAAATAAATGGATTAGTCTAATATGGTCAGATTAGGATGAACAACAATGCAACCGAATTAGTGTGTTAATAATGATGCAATAACCAAGAAGATGAGTGATAAAAGTAGAGAGCAATAATAACTAGATCGACTATGATGGGTGTTGATTAATAGAGATAGGATAGGACCAAAACAAAAGTGAAATTGATAAATTATAGTAGATATATCAAATATAGGTTTAGATCAATATAGGGTCTAATCAATAAGTGAAAGCAGATTAGGTGTTGATGATGGTGTAATTGGATTGATTCAAGTAAGTTTGATCGATTGGTGGAATTATTTAGATTATTGAATGTCAAATAAGTAGATAGGTGGTCGAACTAATTGTTTCTAGTTGAGGTAGTGTGATTTGAGTAAGAAAGTAGTATTTAGGAAAAAAAGGTAAAGTGATCTAGATTCTTTAGGTAGGAGTTTTAGTGTGATTGAAACTTTAAGAGTTTTATGAAGCTGTGACTCTTTGGTTCAAGGTTTTAATTGGACTAAGACTCTTTAGGTATGAATTTCAATTGGAGTGGGACTCTTTGGTATAAGAGTTTCAATTAGACTAAAACATCTTGGATAGAGTTATAGTTAGACTAGGATTCTTAGGATAAAAGTTTTGGTTAGACTCAAGAATATGATATGATAAAGTGTATGGTTGGTGATGTGACAGAATAATCTAGACAAACTATTGGAGCCAATCAACTATAGGGTGTACCGAAGAATAAACAGCTACTTATTAGGTTTTTTTCTCAAGTTCGTAAGTAAATGGTGATCAAGTTTTCATTAGGTTTTGGTAGAGGTCATAAATGGTTTTTAATGTTTAGGTGGCTTATACATGGATGATGATAATGATAGCAAATGAGGATGATAGTGGTGGCAAAGAAGGACGATAGTGGTAGAATGGCCTAGTTAAAGAGGTGATGTTATTTGATGGTTTTAGATATCGATCGGTGGACTTTGATAAATTAAAATTTTTCTTAGAATAAGGGATGTGATGGTTAAAGTGAAGGAAATAGGTTGGAAGAGACATTTAAAGGAAATGGTGAAACGATGAAGTACAATGGGCAAGTTTAGTAGGTGGAGCCTGTTAGTGTATGCGCCCTAGAGTAATTGGTTGGCCAAAAGATATACATCTAACTTGCTCTAGTCATTATATTTTAGTGATTAAAAGGTTTTCTTTTATCAGTAAACATAAGGATAAAAAATTATCAAGGTACTAATTGAATGAAGCCCATGGAATATGATGGCCTTGGAAAAGAGAGTTGCAATTATGAGATCCTTATACGTAAAAGTTGTGTACCTAAATTGTTCCTAGTCCATATATTATTGAGATAGGGTATTAACAATGCTTAGGACTAGTACATGTAAAGCCTTATTACTTTTGAAGTAAGTAATTAAGCTCATAGGTTAAAGTATGAAGATACTTGAAGATAACATGTATGTGCTTATTATGGAATAGGTTCACTGAACATGGTTCGTTATGAGAACTACATTTGGTATCTCACTCAAGTGTTTATTAAAATGTTCTCATGTGTTAGTTGTGTAACTAGTCCTTAGATTTAAGACACAATGTCATCTCATATGTGAACCTTCATACTTTGATTTCACTTATATGGGTCAGAACGTCTGATGCCTACAAAGGGTGCTTTTGGGTATGGCCTGAAGCATATAAAAGTGAATGAGTGATCCAAAAATGATTTGTCACCCTAAGTGATATGAAGGAATATATCTCATTTATTTATTGGATTTAGTTAACTGAAAAGTCTTTAGCCAAAGTATAATGATAAATTTAGATGAAATAGTTTTATGTTAAATTCATACATGTTGACTAGAAATTGTAAGAATTAATATAAAAGGTCTTATGATTGAATTACACTGATAGCATGAAACTGAAAGGTTAAGTCGAGACTTCTTTGATTCTTTAATATTTTGGTGGTCATAATATATTACTAGATTCACTCATGATTTATGAATATATGTTGATTATTATTTATCAATTTGATATTATATTCATTGTCAACATATTGAAAGCCTAATGGGTCACACTATAAGGTGACATTGTCGAATTAACATGAGATTATCAATTAAGTTGGACTTAATTGAAAAAAATTAATATAGAGTACATAACCCTTAGGGACTAAATTGTAAAAGCTATAAAATTTACGTATTTAAGTGTAAAAGTGAGAATTGAAAAGAAATTATAAATAGATCTCTTCCAAGTCCTAACCTTATATCTCAAGATGCTTGAGAAGAGTCTATTGCAATTGAAAATTGTAAAACGTAAGTCCCATAGCCAATATAGGTTCAATTAAACTA